TGTGTTGAATTCTAATTTTTATTGTTAAGGGAAAACATTTCACCTTGTCTTTATTTTTTACCATTTCCCTGCCAGTTAGAGATACTATACTAGATGGTTTTGAATCCTTTGTGGGAAAACGTGGCATAGAAATAACTTAATTAAATATTACTGCATAATAATGCTGTATGACTAAAGAACCTCGTTACCCCACTTTCTCTGTTGCGTGATTTTCTGTAATACCACAATAATCACCTGTTAATTTTATATATTTATTTGAGAGGGCTGTCTCACTCTCTCACTTAGGCTGATGTGCAGTGGCACAATCTCAGCTTACCGTAACTCCACCTCTTGGGTTCAAGCAATTCACCTGCCTCAGCCTCCCAAGTAGCTGGTATTATAGGTGCCCACCACCACACCCAGCCAATTTTTTGTATTTCTAGTAGAGATAGGGTTTTACCATGTTGGTCAGGCTGGTCTCAAACTCCTGACCTCAGGTGATGCACCCACCTCAGCCTCCCAAAGTGTTGGGATTGCATGCATGAACCACCATGCTCACCCTCACCCTGTTAATTTTATGAGCAAAATAGGGCAGTTGGACAAGTCCCTCATGTATGTATATCTTTTTTTTTTTTAAAGATGAAGTCTTGCTTTTGTCACCCAGGCTGGAGTGCAATGGCACAATTTTGGCTCACTGTAAACTCTACCTCCTAGGTTCAAGTGATTCTTCTGCCTCAGCCTCCTGAGTAGCTGGGATTCCAGGCGCCCGCCATCATGCCCAGCTAATTTTCATACTTTTAGTAGAGATGGGGTTTCACCTGCTGGCCAGGCTAGTCTTGAACTCCTGACCTCAGGTGAGCCACCCGCCTCAGCCTCCCAAAGTGCTTGGATTACAGATGTGAGCCACTGCGCCTGGCCTCATATGTATATCTTATAAAGAAAATAATGCTAGGTAATTTAGTCAGGTTCTTGATGAGCATTTGTCATTATGCTAGCTATGGGGTCAATTTGTCTTTTTCTATAAAAGCTCTTCTTGTAAATGATCAGCTGCCCAACTGCTTTAATTTCTTCTAGGTACCTTACCTATCCTCACGATCTTTTTACCACAAATAAACCGTAAAGCATAAAACTTGGTTCAGTCTTCACATTTCTTAAATGGAAGGAAAAAGGGAATAATAAAATAGGAAGATACACATCTTTATTTCAAAGCCAACTCTGTTATTGACTTTCCCAGTGGCAGACGTAGGATTTTCTAGGACTTTAGATTTCCTCATTCCTCATCCTAGTGTCCTCTTTGCCAGGCTATCACAGCTTTTGGAGCCTAATTTCAGTTTTCCTTGTTAAAAACAGAAAACTCCATTTGTAGACTTTTATGTGTCATTATTTGCTTATTTAGTTAAAAATAAAAAAAATTTTGAAAACAGATGTGGGTTAAGTTTTCCAAAATTAGTTTTATTTTCTAAAACAATTCTAACTTCCCCAGGATAACACCAAACCAAGAATTTTTTTGTTTGTTTTCCACACTGAGTCTCTCCATCACCCAGGCTGGAGTGCAGTGGCACAATCTCAGCTTGCTGCAATGTCTGCCTTGCAGGTTCAAACAATTTTCTTGCCTCAGCCTCCCAAGTAGAGAAAATCTTGATAAGATTTCAGAGTTTAAAAAGGGAGTTATAAGGAATGGCAGCAATCTAGAGATGAGTGTTTTTGACGCTGGAATAGAGGGAATTTTTATAAGAGACCCATAAGAGAACAAACAGGGTTTCAAAGTAGAAAGGAGTAATTCTTGTTTGGAGGAGAAGTAAAAACATTTGGGAAAAGTTTGACTTAAGGACGGCCCTTATGATAAGAACTAATGTGGTAGACTCTGAACCCTTAAGAATCTGGTACCTTAAGCCTAAAAGAGGGTAGAGTGAGGATTTTTGGGAAAGGTGCAGGTAGGAAGACAACTGAGTGTGAAATTCTATTCAAGCAAGGCTGACTCTTGGGCTCTAATAGAATTTTACAAGCTAACTCTAGAGCAAGTCTTTTCTTTTGGATGAAAGAAATTTAAGGTTACACTTTGTACATTATAATTATAAAACTAATAAATATTAGATAATGTTCAACTGAAGTATAGATTGAACTATCTGGCATCAAACAGTAACTAAGCCATGATCACATCACTACCACTATGTTCCAGCCTGGGTGACAGAGCAAGACCCTGTCTCAAAACAAAACAAAAAAATATCTAGTAACTAAAGAGAGGAATAAGGGGAGCAAGGAAAGGAAGTACATGCTTGAAGGGGCAGGGAAAGAGTTCTTTCTCTACTTCAGCTGTGCAAAATAAATCACATTTGCCCTTTAGATTGAAAGAGTGAAATACGATTTTTTTGAACATCTTTTAAGATTGGAGTTTGAAATACTGACAACTTATCTACCAAGTATTTGGTTTTTCTCCTAAAGTGTTTATCATTAACTTTCCACAGGGATATAAGAGTTTGCAGGGGCTGTAGTTTTTTAGGGGAACATTGATGAATTTTCTTGATGCATATGCGTGTTTCTACCATCTTACATTGTTAATTTGCCTCTAAGATGAGTTAACTCTTACAATGGGATTTAAAACCTGAAGAGAATTGCTGCCTTGATCAGGTTTGGTTTCAAGTGTGCAGCTTATAAGAGATGACATATGGTTTTATTGTAATTGTTACACTGGAGTATTTGGCAGTTTTTAAAATACTGAAACCTGTTTCAGATTTGCTTGAATTAAAGAGTTATTTATAGAAAACAGGAAAATATGAGGATTTTTAATAGTATATGAGAGTTCTCTGTTACCCAAGAAGAATGTTTTTTCATGCATTTTTAAAGAATCATTTTTAAAGTCTTAAATTCTTATTCACTTAGTTGCTTTGATTCTGTGACCTGTTTTACAATGGTGATAGACTACTTTCTGAAACTATGAAATTGGTCTTGTTGGCAACATCCTACAAATATAAAAACAGCTTCCTATATGTCCATGCTCCAATATTTTTGTCTATGGTAATTATTTCACAAAGCCAAGTGATTTACAAACTAAGTAAAATAGTGCTCAAGTAAAGAAACTGAATAGGAAAACACATTCTCTCTTTTCAATTTTTTATTTAGACAATTACATACCTTCAGAAATTGGAAAAGTAAGGCACCACTCAGCTTCATCATTTTTTAAAAGTTTGACATATGTGCTTTATATGTATGTTTTTTGTGTATGCACCATTTCAAAGTAAGTTGCAGACAAGACAGTTTGCTCTAATTACATACACTCAATGGCTGGGCACGGTGGTTCACACCTATAATCCCAGGACTTTGGGAAGCCAAGACAGGTGGATCACTTGAGCTCAGGAGTTCAAAACCAGCCTGGACAACATGGCAAAACCCCATCTCTACAAAAAAACAATAGAAAAATGTCGGCTAGGCGTGGTGGGCCTATAGTTCCAACTACTCTAAAGGCTGAGGTGGAAGGATCACCTGAGCCCTGGGAGGTTGAAGCTGCAGTGAGCCATGATTGCACTGCTGCACTCCAGCCTAGGCAGCAGGGTGAGACCCTTTCTCAAAATAAATTCCATAGTTTATTTAAAGACTATATTTAAGATTCATCCATTGCATTTCATTGTTATATTTCTTTATTCTCTTAATTCAGCAAAGTCAATCTACTTGGAAAAAGATCCAATCATGAAAGCTGAGTTATGTTTCATTGATCTTGTTCTTTATTCCATGTCAGGTTACCTTTAATAACATTGTGTTGTAATTGGAATACATTATTAATACTTTACACATCTTATTACTAGTTTTTGTGTGTATATATAGATTGTATAAACACACACACACACACACACACTTTATACGTTACTAATCAGAAAAAAGTCTTGGCTAGGTCTTAAAATAATAAAGTCTTTAAATCATTGCCTTTATAAATGGGCTTTTTTTTTCCCCAAAAATGTTCTTTTTGTAATTCTAGAATTGAATTGCAGTGTGGATTTTGGGTTGATTTTGTTTTTTACCAATAATGATGCTCTAGAACTAACTAAAGGTTATGATTAATTATGAGGCAAAAAGAAGGAGGTTTTTTGTTTTTCGTTTTTTTTTGGCAGAGTAGTTTCCTGACACTACTAATGAATATTTTAAATACAACAGGAGCAATTCTGACTCTCTGTGGTTTTGTCTTATAACCTGTACCTACAGTGGATGCAATTTTGTATTAAAATTTAGGGGGTTTTTTTTAGGTCAACAAGGGCAGACACAAGATTATTCAAAGGTTTGGGAGGAATATTACAAGAAGCAAGGTATTGTTTTTATTAGAAATGAGATTATTTTGGGCTTTTAATTGTGGTTACAGCAACAAAGTTCTTTTTTTTTCAAGGTCAAGCAGTTCCTGCTCCAACTGGGGCTCCTCCAGGTGGTCAGCCAGATTATAGTGCAGCTTGGGCTGAGTATTATAGACAACAAGCAGCCTACTATGCCCAGACAAGTCCCCAGGGAATGCCACAGCATCCTCCAGCACCTCAGGTATAATATAATTGCTAATTTGTTGATTCCTACTTCCGTCATGTTTTTTGCATGTTTATTGTTTGTCTGTTTGGGAGTATGTTTGCCTTTTAAATTTTTATCTGGCAAAGTGTAATTATCTAAATGAATTGAAGTACTATGGTATATTATTTGGGTTTTTTAAAATAATGCTTTCTGGCATCTGAGTGCTGAATATTACTACAATGCCTTTGATTTTAAAAATAAATTTTCTTCCCCCAGGGATTTGCAAATCATTCAGGAAGCCACCACCATTTATATTAACCAGTTTTTCTTTCTTAAAGGATTCACTCCTGAATTAGCTCCATTTCAAGGATTTTCTTTAACTTTTTGTGTATTTCTTATGTATCTCTTCTGCACAGGGCCAATAATAAGAAGTGGACAATACAGTATTTGCTTCATTGTGTGGGGGAAAAAAACCTTTGTTAAATATATGGATGCAGACGACTTGATGAAGATATTAATTTTGTTTTTGGTTTAAAATATTGTTTTTTTTTTTTTTTTTTTTTTTGAAAATGTACAAAATATCTATCACTACTGATAGGAGGTTAATATTTCTGTGTAGAAATGAAAATTGGTTTGTTTTTAGTATTTAGTGTAGATGTACACATTCCAGCAAATGTATTTGCAATTATTATGTGGTTGATGCTTTGTGATATAAATGTACTTTTTCAATGTATACTTTCACTTTTAAAATGCCTGTTTTGTGCTTTACAATAAATGATATGAAACCTCCTGTGTCGGTAAGTTGGATATGTGGGTATTTAAAGGATTCATAATTTCTTAGCAATGATAAATTAAGATACATATACACAATTATATAAGCTTTCCCCATGAAATATTGAGTTTTTAAACACTGGCATGTTTTTCCCCCCTTGCAGTATAGTGGTAGATTGGAGGATCTTTTCCATTTATTGTATTTGGCTCTTTCAGCACAAGTAATCCTGATATCTTTATTTTTTTTCCTTCTGTTTGATTAAAAACTGCATGTGTGTACAATGATCTTTTGGCATACTTCCATTGCATTAACAGTGAAATTTCCTTTTATACATGACCACTGTTTCAGACCTGTACTGCTGCTATAACAGTTAACCTTTCTGTTCTTAATTTGTAATACTTGATTTCCAAGACTGTTTCGGCATAACTAATTTTAAACAGTTTACAGATAGTGAATATGAGTAGTCTAATAAGAACAGTTTTTTTCCATGTAAAGCAACTCTTTCAATGTATATAATATTAGTGTGTTTCTTTCTAAATTTAGGCTAGAAAAGTGAATAGTATGCAAAAAGTATAGCTACATTGCATCTGCCATTGAAACATAAATGGGGTATGGAAACGTTGAAGCTTTTTTTTTCTTTATGCAGTATAGATAAGCTTTGTTTTGTAAATGCACAAGTCCAATCATTGAATCAACTTAATTTTTTTATGTACTTGAAATCATTTTATTACTCTTTTAACACTCATGCTGAAGTTCTGATATTTTGTTGAAATCCATTGTTTTACTCTGCATATTTGTTGGCTCTTTGCATATTAATATATTAGACTACATGCAAATACAGTCTGTCTTGCCATTGTCTGTTGAAGTGCAGGTTTGATCCAGCCAGTATAGAACTAGCTCTGTAGGGGTGAGGAGGACTGTGCTGTGTATCATCCTTGATTGTGTTCCTTCAAGGAGCATTGCACTGTAAGTACATCAGAATGACAAATTGATGAACTGCAACAGTATCTTTTTGTCAATGTTCCACATAATGCAAATGCCATACTTTGTGTGAATATTATGTTGGAATACAGTGCTGATATCTTGGAAAACCATAACTGCTTCTTAATTTAACATAGAATAATACATAGTTCTGTATTTTTTTTTAAAGTGAGCTTAATGGGTAAGTATTTTTTTATGTGCTTTAGCAATAGCTAAAGAAAACTGATACTTAACAAAGTTGAATAGTATTATTCACTGGTGCTCCTACAATATTGTTTTTCAGTGTAAAATATGCATATCTTCTATATTTAATATGAAAATCTTGAAATGTATCAGACAGGGGATTTCAGTTTGCAAATAATGAGCAATGTAGCAATTTTAACACATTTCATAAATATGTATTTTGTCATTGGTGGGGAGCACCATTTATTGTTTCAAATATACTTAAAAGGAAGAAATACAAGGACATAAATGTTGAGATTACCTACAGAATGGAAATAGCAGTACGGTGTACCGTTCATTGTAGATATTTTGAAATGTTTTTCGATTGTTTTATATAACCTAGAGTGATTTCCCTTACCCTTATTTAGATCGGGATATTTAGTTCTGGTTTGAAGTTTAATAGTTAAGGAGTTAGCTATCTGTTATCTTTAAGAGTAGGGTATTGATGTGAACAATTGCAGTATTTTGCATGATACTGTTTTATAGATGACCTTTTAGGAAAGTGGTGCATTTATTAATTGAACTGAAGTAGTAGTTCAGTTGAATTCAGTATCATAACTCACAAATTGGAGGCTGTTGACTTTTATTCATTTAAGGTTTAAAATCTTTATTAATTGCAAACAGTGCAATTATTTATACTTCACAGTGCCTTCCCAGACCTTCCACCTTAGGTTCTGCTGCAAAAAGCACCAGGTAAGCACAACCTAAGGACATATATAAATAAATATTTCAGTACATTAATGTTGTCCCTGTGAGGTTTTTGTGGTTGTGTATTCAAAGGCAATCTGCTACTGCTTCCCCAAAATGTATTTTGTTATTTTATGCTACCATCTTAGTGGAAAGTCTGTAAGTTGTTAAAGCAACTGTTTACATATCTGGGTAATGTTTTTTATTTTACCTTTTTTTTTTATTAAAACAAGAAAATGATGAGTAGATTGCTGCAGTAATTGAACTACATCCAAATCTTTTTGTATTTTTTTCCCAAATATAGAAGTGTTAAGATTAAGAAAGGACAATTACACAGTTTTCAAGATTCAGGAAATCACTTGTTTAGAAACTTCAACAGCCTTCACGATCTGTTTTATATGATTGACAGAAAATTTCTTTGCCCTCCAAAGCTATAATTTCTTTATTTTTTTTTTCTTATTCTTAAACTATAATAATTCAGTAAGGATATTATGGGTTAGAATTTTATTATGGTTTTTTTCTTAGACAAAAGTTATATGCTGAAAAAGGAAAAAGTTATAAGGCAGTATGTTTTGATAAAAGGCATGTGCATCAGTGAAATGTTAACTGTATAGCAAATAACCTTTCATAATCTGTAGCAACCAGTATTTTTCTGATTTAATAGTTTAATAACTGACGCTGCGTTAATTTAATTTTTTGCCAGTTTAAAATGTTTGTGTGTTTTTATAGATGATTTTAACTGGTACCTATTTTGAGTTAAGATGAATGTATGAAAGCAGCATCTTATCAGTTTTGTTCTATTTCTAAAATGTGCTGATCCTTTTAAAACTCCTGCTTATCTCTGCAACAAACAAAAATATTCAAAAATACTGCCTTCATTTTCACACACAGTGCTGAAGATGCTGCAAGCACCAAATCATAGCTCATAAAATCAGGTCCTGAGATAGTTACCCATAAAGAGGAATCCTTTGAGTGTATGCCATTGGTGAGCCGATGAGCATGGACCATAGAAGGGCTCAATGTAGAAGGTAAAATTGGCAAATCATAATTGAGAAATATGAAATGTATTCCCATACATATGGTATAGGGTGTAATGTACCTGCTTTTGATCACTTTTCATTTTAAAGTGCTATTCACTTAATCTTAAATGTTCCATGAACTGTTAAATTTCTTAAGTTACGTAGTTACTACACATTTATGTGTATGTATGTTTTAGTAGTCAATGATAGGTATATAAGATCGATAATTAAAGGGGCTCATTGAAACGAGCCTGTTGAGTTTGGTTAGTTGTAGATTGCATTTTCATTTAAAAAAATACAGATAGATGAATGATAATAGATATTGGGGCATTGTTTCTGTCTCATAAGAATTCTTTTATTCATTACCATAAGCCTTCACTGATACTATAAGCATTATTTTAAATGACGCTGATCTTAAGTTTGAAATAAATGGAAAGCAGAAAAGGTGAGCCAGTTGATTTGAATGCATTGGATATTAGTGTTAGAAACAATGTTTAGTTTAGACTGAAATTGAACTGACTTATTTAACACTTAAACAAAATTTGACAATGTTTTTAATTTTTTTAAGACAGCTTAGTGTGGTGATACTCAGAATTCTATAGTTTGATGTTTCTTTTAGAAATGAGAAGTATAGTTTTATTTTTTTAATATCAAAAATGCTTTTAATACTAAAACTAGTAATTTGATACTAGTTGTTTCTAAACATTGTAAAATATATCTTTAAACAAACTATCTTGGTAGTTAATTCATAAGGGTGGGGTTGGGTAGGAATAGCAGAGTACCTTCAGAGGGAAAGGGGAGGAATTCAGAAGTGATAGCATTTTATGTGTTTGAATACTCTGCCAGTAAAATCAGCTCTACTTAGAAAGTTATCTGTTTTGTAGAATAATGATGTAGATTTTACTAATCAGTGAGGATGTCTTGTTTTTATTTTCTGCAAATTCTGCCTCATTTTAAAATGCATTTTAACAATACCTAATTAAAGATAATTTTGGCTCTGAAAATAACCTTATTTTTTGTTGAGTTAGTGACTTCATTTTTCTTGCCACAATATAAACTTTTGAGGGATTTTTTAAATTGGTGCTTTTAATAAGCAAATGAATCACAGGGTTTTATTTTCTTCAGTGATACCCCTATAGAAAAAAATCTTAAATGTATTTGCACATATATATATTTTTTTTCTTATGCATGCTCAATGCATTTTCGTCCTGAGAAAAATGTTCTCTACAGAAACTACCCGTGTGTAAAAAGAAGATTGGCTTAAAATGGCTACTGTGATGGGAACAGTGTCTTAGGGAGATGCAGCTTGGACTTGAGGTAAATTGAATACTTTACAAACTGTGGTTTAGAGTTTGCTTTGATGACATTGTATGTAAAAGGTCACATGATTACTGTAATTTTGTATTCATTATGGTTTCCTCAATAAATAAATGTACATTGATGAATATTATAAGGAAGTGCTTTGTGTTTTTTATACATATATTAGTAAAAATTTTCTACTTGATGGGTTTTTTTTAATGTTTACTGTGAGAAAACACAATTTTTAAAAGTTTTAATGCATGGTGAAACCCCTACCTCTACTAAAAATACTAAAAATTAGCTGGACGTGTTGGTGCACGCCTGTAGTCCCAGCTACTTGGGAGGCAAGATTGCAGTGAGCTCAGATTGCACCACTGCACTCCAGCTCTGGCAACAGAGCAAGACTCTGTCTCAAAAAAAAAAAAAGTTTTAATGATAAAGGGGTTAACAACTGGTTGTACAAGTCTTAAAATACAGAAATTAGACTTTTTTAAATACAGAAGTTACTTTATTTGAGTTCACATTGTAAAATAAAATTGTATTCCAGAAAATTAAAATATAAAACAATTTAATAGAACATAATAGCTAATTATTTACAAATTTGTTTTAAAGACTAGAATTTTAAATTGAAGGTTGTGCCACTTTTTCCTTAAATCTAACACACTTAGATTTTGAAATGCTGGACTATGCTGAAAGTGTTTTCTCTTGCATGAACTATTAATACAAAGTTTTTTCATTAAAATATAATCTGTTCAGGCAAGATCACAACATAAATTTGCTTTATATATTACATATGTTTGAAAAAATAACGTGTAATATCCTCAGCACTCAACACTGTATAGGCAGTGTTTCTTCAAAGTCCTTTAATTTTTGTTTTTCTCTGTGCTCCAACTTTACTGTGAAAGGAGTATCACTCCTCCCCACCCTGCCCCAATCCCAGTATATCTGCTTCAGAAAGACTGAAACTACAACAACCAAAATGATATACTACTAAAGAAAAAGCCCACTCAAATTGATAGGTTCCAAATTAATTAGCTATTTCAACCTAATTTTAGGTGTAAAAAGCTCAGAAATGACATTCATGCAAAATAATATATTTTACGTAGGTTTTTTTTTAACATAGTTGTTGTAAACGTCTATGGGAAATACACAGCCTTTATAATAGGTTCTGATAAAATAATTGAATAATTTCCCACCCCGCAATTAAGTACATTTTATCAACTGTTACTGCATAATAGGTGATAAATCTGATGTTCATGTGGAAAAGAAGAAGGCATTCTTTAGATGAGCTGTGTTTTGAAGACTTATGTAAAGTACATGAGTAAGAAGTCAATATAATGGCACTCCTGGTTTCCTTTTTTGGCCCCGCCACAGAAAAGATGGATGTAATAAGAAAGCTGGAGTGAAAGAGAAAGTTCCAGGAAGAGGGGAGGGGAGCTAGTAGTCATCAGCTAAAAAAGAGAAGAAAAAAAGTGATTTTAAGGAAAAAAAATTAATAGAATAAAAGATAAAAAGAGTAAATTAATTCTTACTTTCAATGGTAAGAATACAGGTACTAGCTGCAGATCCTTTAGTGTTGACTGCTTTACACATATACTCTCCTCCATCTTCTGGGAAAGTTTCTGGTAAGTAAAGGCAGTAAGTTTCTCCCCTTTCAATATATTGATAATCTTCTCCATCCTGCAATATTTCTCCTTCAAACCACCATGTAATTTCTGGTTTGGGTTCTCCTGTTACTTTAACGGTAAATCTGACTGGCTCACTGTCTACAACTGATGTGTTTTTAAGAGGTTTCTTGAACCATGGAGCTCCTGTTCTGGTTTGCTCTTCATCTTCAGTAGTGGAGCCATTCATGATGCTATTTTCTTCCTCCTCCTCCTCTTCTCTTTTCTATGTTGAAGTAAATGTATTCAGGTTGGCATTTAAAATACAGTATTTTCAGGACAGTGATTTAGTTACAGAATTTTGAAATAAAATTTTTTTAAAATAAAGAACATACAAGTATGCCTACTACAAAGTGTACTTAATACATTCCAGGCCGGGCGCAGTGGCTCATGCCTATAATCCCAGCACTTTCGGAGACAGAGGTGGACAGATCACCTGAGGTCAGGAGTTCAAGATCAGCCTGACCAACATGGAGAAACCATGTCTTTAGTAAAAACACAAATTTAATCGGTTGTGGTGTTTCATGCCTGTAATTCCAGCTGCTCAGGAAGCTGAGGCAGAAGAATCGCTTGAACCCAGGAGGCAGAGGTTGTGGTGAGCTGAGAGTATGCCATTGCACTCCAGCCTGGGCAACCAGAGCGAAACTCCCATCTCAAAAAAAAAAAAAATACATTCTAGTGACTTGAAAGAAAGCTATTAAAACATTTTTTAACCCACCTAATTATGCGTTTTAAGAGGGCATCTTTGGAAAATAAAGGATATGTAAGCCTGGTACCTTTTGTAGTGCTGCATCAATTTCCCGTTGTTCAAACTGCATGCGTAGTAACTTTTGTTCTTCAATTCTTCTTTGTTCTTCTTCTTCTCTTGCCTTAGCCATTTGTTCAAATCTTGCTTTCATATTCACTTTGTGAGTAAATGGAGCCTCGCTTTTTATTGCAGGCCTAACATCAACATCTTCTTCCTGCAAGAAAATGCGCCAAGACTAACAAAAATAGCTTGCTTTCTAAAAACAAGTGTTACTAGTTGTGCTTTTTTTTTTTTTTTTTTTTGAGACAGAGTCTTGCTCTGTCACCAGGCTGGAGTGCAGTGGCGCAATCTCAGCTCATTGCCAGCTCACTGCAACCTCCACCTCTGGGTTCAAGCGATTCTTCTGCCTCAGCCCTCCCAAGTAGCTGGGACCACGGGCTCCTGCCAACACTCCCTGCTAATGTTTTTGTATTTTTAGTAGAGTTGGGGTTTCACCATGTTGGCCAGGATGGTCTTTGATCTCTTGACCTTGTGATCCACCAGCCTCAGCCTCCCAAAGTGCTGGGATTATAGGCATGAGCCACCCTGGCCAGAAGTGTTACTAGTTCTAAAGGTGGTGTTTATAAGCACAAAATGATTAACATAATTGCAATGCATATTTGTGCTACACTGCAGATACTCAGATTTTTCTAACCCCTAAGTTCAGGAAAAGTGATAGATACATTTATGAAGCATTCTCTTAGTTATATAGTCTTTTTTTTCTGAATGTAAAGAATGCAGTATCACTGGAATCCCAGCCTCTGTCTGTCCAACTCCACCTTGGTTTTAGTAGCACTTAATTGAAAAAGGTCAGAATACTATACATTCTAATAATTGTTAAAACATACCATTCCCTGCTACATAATATGAGAAATCTGTTCTTTCTACTTAGTGATTTTCCCTTCACCCTACTTAAAACTATGTCCCTGATGAATTCCATCCAAATAATGTATGAGGTGAAATGGACAGGTAAGGGTGTTTACAAGTAGAAAAACAGGAAGAGACAACTTTTGAAAGAGGCAATGACTTTAAAATGGGGAAATCATTAGAATATGTTTTAGACATCTACCGAGGGATGAGTTGGAAGCCATGGAAATAAGGGAGTGATTTAAGAGCAGAGTGTCAACTGTCAAATAGTGTGTCTAGGAAAATAACAATTTGGTAATGATAAGGTCTTCTAGAGTACTTTGGGTGGAGTAGGGTTAATGTGGGTAGTTGTAGTTGACTTGGTTTCTAAACCACTTAGGCGTTTGTGGATCCAGTTGGAAATCTCACCATTTATATTTCATGGTACTATGAAGAAATTGCTCCAGGTTACCACACTCAACTAAAGGGAAATTTGAAACAAGTAGTAGTTTAATTGCCTATATAAGAAAAATCCTGGTTTGGGTGTTTTACTCAGTTTCGAGTTGGACCTCGCACCTCATATCTACCTCATTTCCAATGAAAGGAGTAGAAAAGGAGGTTAAAAATTTTGTTTAGTTTTTCCGGTTCTGCATTAGATTTTTATTTGATACTGGAAAATCATGGAACAACAACCTGCTATCTGATGTGTGAATTATATTTTGTGCCATTATTTACCTTCATTTAGTAAATGTAGTGCCCGACTGGTTGTTGCTAATGAAGGTATAGAGGTTTTTAACATTATTATTATACCTAAAAGACAGACTACAAAAAATGACTAAACTATGATTTGCTTTTGCTTACTGTAGTTTTAACAGACTTCTGAGACTTAAATTATAAAAGGACCTTTTGTTCACAGTATACACTTGTTTTTTGTTGTTTACCAACTGAACCTTTAGGATGGAATATTCCAGCAGGTACAATAATCGCTATTCTGAGTCCTTCCCAGTTAATGACTTGCCTTCCAGATTTTAGCCTCTTGATGCAAATTCGTAAGTATTCATTTAGCTGCCTCAAACCTGCATTTAGAAAATTGAGTAAGTAGAAGAATTTCTCTTGAGCTGAAAGTTTATGAATAGTCCTTCAGTCAAGTACAGTTGTCAGCTTTTCTTGAGCCGCTGAAGAGCCAGGTTAAAACATGTTTTAAGTCAGCAGTTAGGCCGTGTATCTTCCTTGAGATACAATGAGGTATAAGATAGTTTTGGCATAGACTTTATTGGAAAATCTAACTAGAAATTCAAACATTATATAAAGCATTTAAGTACCAAAAGAGTGGTACGTGTTTAAGTGCTACAGGACCTGGGATGGAATTCTTCGATTAGATAAGGTTATATATATGAGCTGAGCCTTGAAAGAATATAAACATTTTGAAGATATGCTGAACATTGATTTTTCTTTTTGTCTTCCCCCACTGCCACCCACCCCCCTTCCCCCAAGATAGTCTCGCTCTGTCACCCAGGCTGGAATGCAGTGGCGCAATCTCAGCTCACTGCAACCCCTGCCTCCCTGGTTCAAGCAATTCTGCCTCAGCCTCCCATGTAGCTGGGATTATAGGCGCCTGCCATCACACCCGGCTAATTTGTGCGTTTTTAGTAGAGACAAGAGTTTCGCCATGTTGGCCAGGCTGGTCTCAAACTCCTGACCTCAGGTGATCCGCCTGCCTCGGCCTCCCAAGGTGATGACTAACTTTCTAAGCAGCTTTATCTACTTGGACTTTCTAGTGCTATCCATGAAAATCTGTAGTTCTTGCGCCTCACCTGAGTTTAGGACCTATGTTAGACTGCCTTTACCTTACCCAAATATCGCCGAAACTGTTCACCCCACCTCCCCAGACGTGATTTCTCTATAGCATCATCTAGTTATCCGGAAGTAATGGTAGCCCCATCTGCAACCAAGTACCCAAAAAGCGACTTGTAATCCTTTTTTGTGTTTGACTCATATCCATACCTGAGTCTAACCTAGTTTTGTTAGTTAGGTCTGTTTTTCTCCCTTGGCCCCAACTGCATGCCTGTCTTGCAGTTCATCCTCCGTGATTCCAGAATTCTTGCATAAACATAAATCCTTTCTTACTCTAACCTAAAAAGTTGATTATTAAATGTTCCCCAGATCATAGTGCCTGCAAGGTTTAAAAGGACCTTCATTAACTAGCCACAACCTCCTTTTACAACTTTGTATCCTATTACTTATTCTGTGAACCTTGTCTTGTAGTCCTTTGAACCTGTTTTCCATTCCCCAGATACATGTTTACAACCTCTGAGTTAATCTGAAAGGCTTCTCCTGTCTGGAATGTTTCTCCTCTTTACCTGCAACTTTTATTCAGCCTTTACACTTAGCTTAAATCTCACCTTCTTGGGCTTGTTAAACATGTCCTAGGTATGTTGACTCTACCCAATTTGATTCTGTAACACTATACAATTTCTATTATAGCATTTACAATAATTAGAATTTTCTTCAGTTATACATACTTAGACTGTACTTAAAGACATATCCACTTATATGTCCCCAAAACAACAGATCCAACGTGTTAAAAATGTTCAACATTTTTTAGATGTTAAAAAATGGAAATGGTTGCGGCCAAGCACAGTGGCTCACACTTGTAATCCCAGCAATTTGGGAGGCTGAGGCAGGTGAATCACGAGGTCAGGAGTTTGAGACCATCCTGGCCAAGACAGTGAAACCCGTCCCTACTAGAAATACAAAAAATTAGCTGAGCATGGTGGTGGGCACTTGTAATCCCAGCTACTCTAGAGGCTGAGGCCAGAGAATCACTTTAACTCTAGAGGGGGTGGTTGCAGTGAGCCGAGATTGCACCACTGCACTCCAACCTGGGCAACAGAGTGAGACCCCATTTCAAAAAAATAATAGAAATGGAATGGTTTATCTACAACTAGCCCAGGCCCTAGGCTTTTATGTTACACAAGCTCAGATGCATATTGGATTGATTGGTTGATATCTGGATGTTTCACAGCATCTCTATTTGTCTGAAATAGCTTATGGAACCTCTTTTCCTTCCAAACACTGATTTCCCATATTGTTACTGTATATTTGTTACTATGATTCCTTCCTCTTTCTTTCTTCCTCTCCATCACCATCCCCAAGTCCTGCCAGTTTTGTCTCCTATATACTTACCTGTCCTTTTCATCCCAGCCCTACTTCAAATCCTCAGGCCCTCTCTGACCACCCTGTACAAAATAGTAACACATACTCTTATTTCCCTTACTCTGCTTTATTAATCTTCATAGCTTTAATTTGTTAACCACCTGATAACTGTTTTCCATTCCTTCCCCGACCCCCAACCCACCCATATGCACTGGGACTGTAAGTTTAGTTAACTGATGTTGTCCTGTGGACATAATAGTCAAATAATTTTTTTTTTTTTGAGACAGAGTCTCGCTCTGTCACCAGGCTGGATTGCAGTGGTGTGATCTCAGCTCACTGCAATGTTTGCCTCCAGGTTCAAGCGATTCTCATGCCTGAGCCTCCTGAGTAGCTGGGATTACAGGAACCCCTCCCCCCACCCCCCACCATCATGCCCAACTAATTTTTGTGTTTTGTAGAGACAGGGGTTTCACCATGTTGGCCAGGCTGGTCTTGAACTCCTGACCTCATGTGATCTGCCCACCTTGGCCTCACAAAGTTTTGGGATTACAGGCGTAAGCCACTGCGCATGGCCTCAAATAATTTTTTTTTAAGATGGGGTTTCACCATGTTGGTCAGGCTGGTCTTGAACTCCTGACCTCAGGTGATCCACCTGCCTTGGCCTCCAAAGTGCTTGGATTACAGGCTTGAACCACCATGCCCGGCCAGTCTCAAATAATTTTTTTTTTTTTGAGACGAAGTTTCGCTCTTGTTACCCAGACTGGAGTGCAATGGCACGATCTCGGCTCACCGCAACCTCCGCCTCCTGGGTTCAGGCAATTCTGCCTCAGCCTCCTGAGTAGTTGGGATTACAGGCACGCGCCACCATGCCCAGCTAATTTTTTGTATTTTTAGTAGAGACAGGGTTTCACCATGTTGGCCAGGCTGGTCTTGAACTCCTGACCTCATGTGATCCGCCCACCTTTCACCATGTTGACTAGGATGGTCTCAATCTCTTGACCTCGTGATCCACCCGCCTTGGCCTCCCAAAGTGCTGGGATTACAGGCTTGAGCCACCGCGTCCGGTCGCCAAATAATTTTTTAATGCATGTATCTAGCACCATATAGCTTCTGCATAATCTAGCTGCATAGACAATACCTGTCTGGCAATATCCATGTTCTGTTTTTGAGACGGTCTTGCTCTGACACGCAGGCTGGAGTGCAGTGATGCAATCACAGTTCACTGCAGCCCCTCAACCACCCAGGCTCAGTTGATCCTCCCACCTCAACCTTCTGAGTAGCTGGGACTGCAGGCGTGCGCCACCATGCTTGGATACTTTTTTTGTATTTTTTGTACAGATAGGGTTTTGCCATGTTACCAGGCTGGTCTGGAAATTGGCTCAAGTGACCCACCCACCTCAGCCTCCTGAAGTGCTGGGATTAGGGTTGTGAGCCACTGCCCAGCCAATATCCATGTTTTTAAAAAATCGCTTCATATGTCATCTAAGACTCCATGATTATCTCACTTGTGCTTGTATCTTCATTATCTTTTGCTGCCCTTTACACTCGTGCATGCTTCAATAATAATGAATTACTTAGAGTCCCAATAATTGTCACACAATTTCTTCATTCTGTCCTTTTATCCAGTCTCCTCTGAAGGCCCTCCCAAATTCCATACCCGTTTTGCTAGCTGAATATTTGATCAAAATGTATTTCTAGAATATAGGTTAAATTCTGTTAAATATTATGGCAATTCTGGCAGAAAAAAAAAATTCTATATCTCATTGAAACCAGTATTCATAATCACAGAAACAGTCCTTAAGCTAGAAGGGAGAATGCAGATCAGTGATTGTCTCTTTATTTTATGTTTGAAGATAATTCAAATTCATGTCATCAGAATTCTCATTTAGGCTCTTCTACACTGAATTACTGCTGTAACTTTGAGCAAATATTAGAGTCTGTATGGGTTTCATCTAAAAAACAAGAAAGTATGAATAATCTGGAGTTTAACTTGAATATACACTGGTTCTACTGAGTCAACTAAAACATGCCAAAAAATATATTCTTTTTAATTATATAATTTCTTTGTAGTGATGGAGTCTCACTGTGTTGCCCAGCCTGGTCTAGAATTCCTAGATCATGTGATCCTCCCTCCTTGGCCTCCCAAAGTGCTGGGATTATAGGTGTAAGCCAGCCAAAAAATATTTTTGAACATTTTTGCTAGTGTGAACCATTTGACATTCACTATAGGTTTTAAAACTGCTAAAGGTGATTATGAAGCAGTGCTAGTCTTTCAAAATTTAAGATCTAAATGTGTTTTTGCTATTCACTTCCCAGATTTCTATTATACCAATGATTAATTGTAAGTACTAAAACTTATTTCAAAGCCACTGTTACTTCTGTTAAATTTATTATCATTACTATACCATAATTATGTTAGAAAATAAAGATAGTATACCTCATGAAAATTTTCTGCTTCTCGCTCTTTAATTTCAAGGTCAATTGCTCTCCTTCTTGCTCTTTCTTCTTCTATTTTTTTCTGTATTTCTTTTTCAGACAACTGTCCGATTTTTTCAAACTTGCTTTTTAGATTTTTAGCTTGAATAGATCCACTCCTTTTTAATTTGATCAATTCTTCATATTCTCTGCTCAGTCCAAAAGTTTCATTTTCTTCCTCTTCCTTAAAAAAAAAAAAAAAAAAAAAAGTTTTTTGCTGTTGTTTTAGATACAGATTCTCACTATGTTGCCCAGGCTGGCCTTGAATTCCTGTCTTTAAGCAATCCTCCTGCCTCAGCTTCCCAAGGAGCTGGGCCTACAGGCATCCGCCACCATGCGTGACTCAAAAAAAAAAAAAATTTTTTTTTGGTTGAGTATCAGCATATTAGTTTGTACAATAAATCATCTAAAAAGTGTGCACTATTTCTTACTTGATACCAAAAATAAAGTTTAACCTCTTCTCTAAATGCAGAGTCCAAATTTACTAACTCAAAATGGTGCTACAGATTTAAGGCTTTATTGAAAACATCTTATTCTACTTAAAATACTATTTTCATTAAGGAATATCGTTAAAATCCTCTTATATTCCTTGATAACCTGCTAAAACTAAAATATTCATGACAAGATTAGTTTTTTCTAGGAGTTGCAGGAAAATCTTTAGGGGAAGGCAAAACGATAATTTGAAAGAACACTGGACTAGGAGTCATGAATTCTAGTCCTGGCTCTGGTGCTGTGTGGGCTTCTGTCCAGTTGCTTACTCACTGTAGGATTTAAGTTTTTTTGGTTGTTTTTTGTTTTTTGAGGAGTCTCGTTCTTGTTTCCCAGGCTGGATTGCAATAGCACAATTTTGGCTCACCGCAACCCTACACCTCCCAGGTTCCAGCGATTCTCCTGCCTCAGCCTCCCAAGTAGCTGGGATTACAGGCATGCGCCACCACTCCCAGCCAATTTTTGTATTTTTAGTAGAAATGGAGTTTCTCCATGTTGGTCAGGTTGGTCTCGAACTCTCAACCTCAGGTGATCCACCCACCTCAGACTCCCAAAGTGCTGGGATTACAGGTATGAGTCACTGTGCCCAGCCTGATTTTCTTCATCTCTAAATAGATCCTGAGTACCTGAAATTTTTCCTACTTTTGATTTTATGATAGTCTTATAAAGTTAAATATCACTCAATACTCAAGTTAACAAATAAGCGTTTCTGGAGATATAGTTTGGTAAAATATCTACATTTCTCTACATATCACTTGTATTCTCAATTATATATTCTGCCAGCTGAGATAGAAAAGGAGTCAACTGGCCAGGCAGGCACAGTGGTTCACACCTGTACTCCCAACATTTTGGGAGGCCAAGGTGGAAGGATCACTTGAGCCTAGGAGTTCAAGGCCAACCTGGGCAACACAGTGAGACATCATATCTTCAATCAAACAATTGACTAGGTCTACAGCCATACCACCCTGAAAGTGCTGATTGCGCCTGATCTTGGAAAAAATTCACTGGGTGTTGTGTGTGCCTGTAGTCCCAGCTACTTGGGAGGCTGAGGCAGGAAGATCACTTGAGCCCACAAGTTCGAGATTACTGTGAGCTATGAGTACACCACTGCACTCCAGCCTGATAGAGACTGCCTTTTTTTTTTTTTTTTTTTGAGACTGCCTTTTTAAAAAGAAAAAAAAAGAGGAATCAATCATGAATGGGCTCCAATTCTTTAGTTAGTTAGTTAGTTAGTTTCTTTGAGACAGAGTCTGACTCTGTCACCCAGTCTGGAGTGCAATGGCACTATCTTGGCTCACTGCAACCTTTGCCTCCTGGGTTCAAGCAATTCTCCTGCCTCAGCCTCCCTAGTAGCTGGAATTACAGGCGTGTGCCACCACACCCACCCAGCTCTTTTTATATTTTTAGTAAAGACAGGGTTTGCCATGTTGGCCAGGCTGGTCTCAAACTCCTGACCTCAAGTGATCTGCCCAACTTGGTTTCCCAAAGTGCTGGCATGAGCCACTGCACCTGGCCAGCTCCAATTCTTTATACCATTTTATCTTGTTTGTTTATTCAGATTCTTTTCCCCTGACTTTTCACAACTATTACTAGTCCTTTGTAATATTTACTAAACCCCAATCCCACCATATGGAATGGTAAAATACTATAGGTATTTCTGGTATACTTTTCCTGAAGATGACCTAAAGTTCTAGACAGAGTTTTAAAAGGTGAAGGCAGAGGGTGTCGTAGTCTGGGATGATGTGACATGAGGCTTAATTTCTTGACTCAACCAAGGGGTAAGAGAAAACATTACTATTTCCACTTTTTAGACTATGTGGGGTGAAAATACACAACTCATAAGGTACCTAGACCTTGAAATATTTGCCTACAGTACACTCCTGGCATTTATTTACACATTTATATTTATATTCTCAGGGTCAGCTAGATAATTTGCCAGCCACACCTGGGGCAGAGAAGTAAAACTTCCCTTCCCACATGCCCACTGCCCCAATCCATAAAAAACAGGCAACTTCAAAGAGATTGCAATCTCTATGTAGGGACCCACTGGGTTCCTAGGTCGTAAGTTGGTGAGAGGACCCCACCAAGTTGCCTGCCAAACATGCCATAGCATTGCCAGTCCAAGTCATGAAGCTACATCCTAGACCCTGATCCTGTTCATGTGCATGGCCTGGCCCTTGGTAGGGGCCAAAGCTGATGGTGAATACAGGCCCCCATTCTACCTTTCTCTTCCACTGCCCATGCAACCCAGGCCACCCAGTGGGATGACCGCAGAGTCCAAAGAGGGAAGGAGGTTAGGCAGGGCCTTGGGAAGGGGGCTGCTGAGAACTCATTCCAGTGAGGCAGGAAGACAGCATGAAGCTCTAGTGAGTCAAGGCTCCTATATAGGCACTAATTCAAAGATAAAATTAAGAATTTCAAGACAGTGGCTGGGCGTGATGGCTAATGCCTATAATCCCAGACCTGTGGGAGGCTCAGGTGGGAGAATCGCTTGAGCCCAGCGGTTTGAGACCAGTCTGGGCAACAAAGTGCCATCCCCCAATCTCTATGAAAAAAAATTGCTGGGCATATATGCATAGATAGTTATAAATATGCTTATTTATAAGCATATTTATATATAAATATAACTTATAAATATATTTTATAAATATGTATATTTATACATATATATAAATATAAATCATGCCTGTAATCTCAGCACTTAGAAGGCCGAGGTGGGTGGATCACCTGAGGCCAGGAATTTGAGACTAGCCTGGCCAACATGGTGAAACCCCTTCTCTACTAAAATACAAAAATTAGTGGGGCATAGTGGCTCATGCCTGTAATCCCAGCTACTCAGGAGGCTGAGGCAGGAGAATCGCTTGAACCCGGGAGGTGGAAGTTGTAGTGAGCCAAGATCATGCCATTCCACTCCAGCTTGGGCTACAGAGAAATACTCCAGCTCAAAAAAAATAAAAATTAGCCAGACATGGTGGTACATGCATCTAAAGTCCCAGCTACACAGAAGGCTGAGGCACAAGGATCACTTGAGCACAGGAGGTAAAGGCTGCAGTGAGCCATGTTCACGCCACAAAAAAGAACTTCAAGACAGCAACTTCAGCATTAAACCACAAATGCAGGGCCTTCTGAACATGGAGGAGTCTTACAAATGCACAAGGTGCATGCCCATGAAGCATGAAACTGGCACTGTATAGTCTATATATAATATATATTAAATATAAACATGCATATTTATAATTATATAAAAATATAAATAGTAATAGCTCAGTAACTTGCAAACCTAGATATTTTATAATCAAACTATCAAGGAAGGAGTAGTTATAACAAACTAGAAAGTACACATAATTATGCAGAAGCCTGTAACATGTAAGTGCCTCATAGGAGTATGTCAAGTACCCTAAAGGTGAATAATAATACAAAATTATTCTAAGGTGATATAAGCAAAATATTTTGCTTAGTAAATATGGGGAATGTAAATAGATATTTCTTTAAAATCTTACCTCTCCCATTTCTTGTCTTAGTTGTTCAAATTCTTGTTTCTCCATTTCTAGCTTATGCTTCCGTTCCTCCTCTGTTCGTCGTTTTTCTTCTTCCATCTTTTGTTTTAATAATTCTTCAAAATTAATTTCCAGTTTTCCCGGTGTAAGAGATTCTTGAGAGATTGTCTTATACATCTCTGGGGAGTCATCATCTACTACCTATTTAAAATAATTATTTTATCACTCTGCCCAGGATTATACATACTAAAAAGGGGAATATTTCTAGAAGAAACTGGGATTTCTTAGAGAGGTTCCACATTGAAGAAAGAACAAGAGGATTTAACAATAAACAAGGAAGTCTCAACACAGTGTTCAAAAAAAGAGGAAGAATTAGAAAATGTAAGACAAATATTTTGTGGTTATGAAGGAAATGGTAACCATCTATTCTCCATTACAATGGAGACAAAGAAATACTTTATTCATACTGTGAGTGCTTTGAATTAGACGTTAAGATTTCCAAATTTGAGAACATTTTTTAATTGGATTAAAATAACTCTCCATTCTGGAGAGTTAATTTTAGTTACCTGTGATTTTGTCTGATTTAATTACATAATCCATCACAATCTCTTCATAATCAGACAAAAATCACTCTTGGTGCTATGAGTTTATTGTTTATTTGCTGTCAGGCTAATTTAAAAAAATAATAAGGCCAGCCATGGTGGCTCAAACCTGTAACCCCCGCACTTTTCGCCTGTAATCCCAGCACTTTGGGAGTCCAAGGTGGGTGGATCACGAGGTAAGGAGTTCGAGACCAGCCTGGCCAACATAGCGAAACCCCGTCTCTATTAAAAACACAAAAATTAGCTAGACATGGTGGCAGGCGGCTGTAATCCCAACTACTCGGTAGGTTGAGGCAGGAGAATCACTTGAACACAGGAGGTGGAGATTGCAGTGAGCCAAGATCATGCCATTGCACTCCAGTCTGGGTGACAAAAGCAAGACTCAGTCTCAAAAAAAAAAAAAGAAAAGAATAATAGTTAATACTTAGAGCTGCCGAGTACACTTATACGTACTTTACATGTATTTATTTAATCCTATAAACCTATGAAGTAGTTATTACTAATATCCTCATTTTACAGACAAGGAAACTGAGACACTGAAAAGTAATTGTCTAAAGTCAACACAAATACTATGTGGCAAAGCTGGGATTCAAACTTCAAAATCTTTCTAATAAGATTATAGGCGAAGTGAGGGATTACACCTGTAATCCCACCACTTTGGGAGGCTGAGGTGGGCGGATCACGAGGTCAGGAGTTCGAGACCAGCCTGACCAATATGGTGAAGCCCCATCTCTACTAAAAATACAAAAATTAGCCAGCTGTGGTGGCTGGCATCTGTAATTCCAGCTACTCAAGAGGCTAAGGCAGGAGAATCGCTTGAACCCGAGAGGCAGAGGTTGCAGTGAGCCGCGATCACACCATTACACTCCAGCCTGGGCGACAGAGTACGACTCCATCTCAAAAAAAAAAAAGAAAGAAAGAAAGATTATAGGCCAGGCATGGTATAATATAAACCTCTGCCCTGAACTGTGACCCCATGGTTGAAATAGACATAGGGGAATGAGAGAGGCAAGGGGTACTATTCATTTGCTCCACGTTTTATCAAGGCAATCCAGGGTTTACCACAGAACTACTTCAACTCAGAAACAATGTTTAAGTGGTTTACAATTCAAAGATTGCCTGAAATTTTTAAATTTTATATATGCATGAACTAAGCTATAGTATGAAATTATAATACTTATTCCTGGATAAATTACAATACTTATTCGTGGACAAGAAAACAATATAAATGAAAGAAGAAGTTTTTCTCTCTTCTCTTGATGGAGAAATGTCTTTAGGAAACTCGGTTTTGGTTTAATGCAGCTTTCTCCCCCACATTTCTTCCACTAGTGAATCATGGTAAAAAGGCAGTTTGGGCCTACAAATCTGCCCCCAGGACTAGGTCTTTTAATCTTCACAGTTACTTCTCTTCTACCACTTCTAAACCTGCTTTTTTCCAAAAATTAAGTGCATTCACAATGTCGGTAGGATTTCTATGTAGAAACCATATATGAATCGGGGATTACCTACGGCACCTAAGATTTCAATATCACTTGTCCCATCAACATTTACTGGAGGTCTGTTATGGTTGGCATTGTACCACATGTTTGATGAACAGTCTTGGCCTCATGGAGTGGAAAAGACAGCCATAACTATAACAATATAGGATTAGTGCTATGATAGAATACTAAATGTTGTAAGAATTCATGGAAGAAGGTGGAAAGTTGTGAACTGGAGTGAGCAGAGCACAGTGAAAGGAGTGAGGGACATGTTTCAGTGTGAAGGCAGAGAGATTCTCACTTTGCAGAAATACAAAGAAATTCAGCATATTTGGAACAAAAAGCAGATTAAGGAAGAATCAAGAAATAGGAGCAATATATAAGAGAAGACTATAAAGAAATTTGTTTTAGAAGTTTTTGGATTTTTGCTTAAGGCAAGTGGGAAAATATTAAGCAAAACAGTAACAAAACACAATCAAAATTTCTTTCTTTCTTTTTAAAGATTACTCCTGGCCTTATAGGAAAGAATGAGTTACAGGTAAGAAAGCAAATTAATTAGGAGTTGGCCCTAACAGCAACTTGGATTATAGTAGTGGCAGTGGAAAATGGGGGAAAAAACTGATAGATTTAGGAGGTAGAATAAATGAGACTTAGTGACTGGTTGTACGATAGGCATGAAGAAGAAGATGGAAGTGTTTCAGGCTTCCAGGTTTCTGATTTCTGTATCTGGGTAGGCGATAGGCAATAAAACCAAATAAACACTTGGACATATGTGTCTGAAGCTCACCCATACAGAGGAAGAAAACCAGGTTATGATATCACCAAAGCCAATTACAATGTTTCAAGAAGGAGATAGAGTGCTCAAGTCTCAAATTGCTTGAGAATTGTTGGTCGAATAACTGCGTTTTACAAACAAAACTGGTATAGCAAGTACAGTCATAACCTTGTGACAGTTAAGTTAGGTCCCAATTTCCAATAGTGATGAGTGAGCATTTTGGAGAGAGAAATAATTCTGATTAAATGACTCTGGTCATTTAATATATAGTGGGTGGGATGAAAATTGAAAAGAAAGAAGGAAAGGAAGGAAATAAAGGAATGAAGGAGGGAAAAAGGGAGGGTGGGAAGGAGGTGGGGAGAGAATAGAGAGGAAGAAAGGAAAAGTGGTGGGAGGAAACTCCCTACTTCTTCCTTGGATACTTAGTTCTGGAAAACATGGCTTCCCAGAGAAGGGAGATTGTGTCCAATCCTTTATGCCAAAGATGGTAATTTAATCCGAATTTTCTGAACACTAAATTGAAGCAAATACCTTCAACCAACTGGTGTTATTCTATGGAAGACTTTAAAACATTTCTACTCTTGGCACAGATTCCAGAAATAATAGGGTATTCTCTAAAGCCTAATGATTTCTGTTAACATACTCTCAAAACTGAGTTCTAATAGCATTCTCCAGTTAGCTTCTGTCTTACCATGTTTCTCCTTGCTTCAGCAAATGCCTTCTTTTCTTCCTCTATTCTCCTTCTGGCTTCTTCTTCTGCTTTCCTTTTTTCATCTTCTCTCCTTTGCCTTTCTATTTCTTCAAAACTAAGTTTGAGTTTACCAGGGCGGTACTCTTTAAAAATTTTTGCTGTGTCTTGGTTTTCCTCTTCTTCATTTACCTAACCAAATAAACAATTCATTACTAAGAATTGAGATTCATCAGAAAATGGAATAAATTATCAATCGAAAGGCACAGAATTAGCCACTTCACACAGGACTGTTTCAATGCCCTTAATATACTTGACCAAAATCCCCTTCCTTTTTAAAGATGTCTTATATGATAAAGTATTCAAATATGGAGAAATTCCATATAAAGATGTACTCAAGTTAAAACTTTCAAGTAAGTCAAATTTCTATAGATTAAATTGAATATTTAAACATTTTTAGCCTGGTGTGGCAGCTCACACCTGTAATTCTAGAACTGTAGGAGGCAGGAGGATCACATAAGCCTAAGAGTTCAAGACCAGTCTGGGCAACCTCATCTCACATAAAACCAAAAAACACATTATAGCCAGGCGTGGTGATGTGCCTGTATTCCCAGCTACTCGGAAAGCTGAGGTGGGAGGATCACTTGAGCCCAGTAGGTTGAGGCTGCAATGAGGGGTTACTATTGAGTGTTAACTTTCCCAGAACAAATATAAAATGTATATGTGTGTACTTAAATTGGGGTTCAAGTATATTTACACAGAATCTCTTTGGTAATAAAATAAAGTTCTCATTTTGTAATTTGTGTAGTTTTTTTTTTTTTGCTGTGAACTATGGTGCCTTATACTAATCAGATGAAAGATTATCTAGAACTATTTTATATAAAATTCAGGTTTTATGATTTTATCATTAAAGTTTTAACTTATTATTAAGTTAATTATAATATTAAATGTATTATTTATTTAATAATACTATTTCTTTATTAAATTGTCCACCAGAAATATCTAAAATGTGTAGATATTATCCAGCTATACCTGAGTAATAACATTTTCAAATGTTTAGAAAATTAAATTTTTTGATATATAATTCTTTTTTTTTTTTTTTTTGAGACGTAATTTCGCTCTTGTTACCCAAGCTGGAGTGCAATGGCGCGATCTTGGCTCACCGCAACCTCCGCCTCCTGGGTTCAGGCAATTCTCCTGCCTCAGCCTCCTGAGTAGCTGAGATTACAGGCACGCGCCAACATGCCCAGCTAATTTTTTGTATTTTTAGTAGAGACGGGGTTTCACCATGTTGACCAGGATGGTCTCTCTCTTGACCTCATGATCCACCCGCCTCGGCCTCCCAAAGTGCTGGGAATACAGGCGTGAGCCACTGCACCCGGCCCTAATATGTAATTCTTAGAACATCATTCAAGAAAGCTGATCAAGAAAGTTCCATAACTTTAAAATTATAAATATTCCATTTTTAGATTTTTTTTTTTTTTGAGACAGGGTCTTACTCTGTCACCAAGGATAGAGTCCAGTGGCTCATTCATAGTTCACCATAGCAATCCTCTCACCTCAGACCCTGGGGAGCTTAGACTACAGATGTGTACCACCACACCTGGCTAATTTTTGTGTTTGTTTTTGTAGCGACATGGTTTCCACATGTTGCTCAGGCTGGTCTGGAACTCTTGGGCTCAAATGATCTGCCTGCCTCAGCCTTCTAAAGTACTGAGATTACAGGCATGAGCCACCATGCCTGCCCATTTTTAAATCTTAAAATGATTTTGGAATCAGTGTTTTCTTATTTCAATTTTACTTTTTATTGATAAATTTATTAATACCATAAAAATAATTAAAAATTTCCAAGAACTTAGTATATATGACAAACACCATTTTAAGTGCTTCCTAGATATTAACTCGTTTAACCATTTAAGAAATAGGCATTAAAAAAAAATCCAAGTCATTATGGAAGTTAAAAAAAAAAAAGTAAGCACTTTCATTTTTACCATTTTACAAAAGAAGAAACTAAGAGAGAGATTTAATTGCTTAACACAGCGAAAGATTAAAACACTTGTCCATGGTTACACAATGGTTGATATCCAAATCTAGACAATCTGGCTCCACAATCCATGCTCTTAACCACTACACCACACACACACACAGAGGCATGCATACAAATACACACACACACACACACACACACACACACTTTATAAGGTAAACCATATTCCATAGTAAACTCTTATTTTGTTATGTTCAAACAGTTGAAAAACTGGACTGTTGAGGCCAAGTTTACATTTATAATCAGATTTGAAAATGTCCTGCAGCCATGTCATTAAGTACGTCGCAGATTTAACTGACAAATGAAGGAAACCAGGTTCATTGAGTAATTATTTTGCATATTTATATATTAATAAATATTAATAAAATTAAAATTTAAAGCATATTGGGTAAAATGCCCCAGAGTTGTAACTGGAAAACAGTACAGATTTTTTTTTTTTTGACACAGTCTCACTATGTCACCCAGGCTGGAATGCAATACCATGATCTCGGCTCACTGCAACCTCCGTCACCTGGGTTTAAGTGATTCTCATGCCTCAGCCTCCCATGTAGCTGGGATTACAGGCATGCACCACCACAGCTGGGTAATTTTTGTATTTTTAGTAGAGATGTGATTTTACCATGTTGGCCAGGCTGGTTTCACACTCCCAACCTCAGATGATCTGCCTGCCTTGGCCTCCCAAATTGCAGAGATTACAAGTGTGAGCCACCGTGCCTGGCCTGGATGTATTTTACCTATGGAATATGTATACGGATTGAAAATCAGCCCTTCTATATATAAAAATCTCTTTGAATTTAGAGTAATGAAACGTATCTAAAACCAGCTACCTTCATTAATATTAATTGTAAGGTTTAAATATAGATTCACCATTTGCCGCCTTGCTTCTTCAAAAGCACGCTTCTCTTCTTCTAAACGTTTTCTTGCTTCCTCTTCAGCTTGCTTCTTCCGGTTTTCTTGTCTTTGTCGCTCCAATTCTTCAAAAGTTAGTTTCAACTTTCCAGGAGAAAGTGATTCTTTTTTTGCTTCACTTTCTATTTCATCATCCTAAGAAAACATTATGAAAACCCACCTTTTAGTCATAAAGGAAAATGCTGCTAACCTAACTCAACTGCCTTGATTTGTTTCTTAAAAAAAAAAAATTACCATGACCAATGAAAGACACTTTGCTTCCTTGAGAGATCGTCGTTGTTCATCATATCTTATTCTTTTATCTTCCTCATACTTGATCCTTTCTCTCTCTTCATGTTCTTTTTCTAGATCCTCAAAATTCTTTTTCATTTTTCCAGATGTTTTATATGATTTGACAGGTACCACAGTTATAAGTAGTGAATCATCTCCTTCCTATTTTATAAAATAGATAATTGGCATATTTTTTTCTTAATCAAAATTGAGTTTCATGGGATTTTAGCTCCATAATAGGTGAATTCCATTGCATTGTCATCAATGTTATTATGAAGAACAAACAATTTTTCAGATTATTGTTAAATATCTCATCTAAATTATTTGTGCATTACGAGTTAATCTTACTGAAATCCATTGCTGACGAGGTTTAAGAAGTATTCTATTTCCTAAAAGATGGAGTTAATACAGCTGTGTGACGTTGCCTGAATTAGCTATTTGTGCACTAATCCACAAAATGTGCATGTGAATGTACTCTAAATCAATTTGATGGTGGATCAATTGAGTTTAAACCCCAAAAAAATTTCTTCATATGATTTTTTTCTCTATGCAAGCTTTTAAATACTTAATAAAACTAATATTTAGTGAGGAAAAAAACACAGTATTTCCAAGTGATTTATTAAACATTTATATAATAGATAAAACTCTCTGGTATTTGATTGTATTAAAATATTTTATATTATTTAATTTATTTTAATTATAAAATCTGTTGTTGCCTCTGATTTTCTGAAAACTAAGAAGAGTTATGAAATGAAACACGTGGCCCTAAGATAAAATTGCCCCCAATTTATGGGCTGTAGTTTTAGGCACACCATCAAATTGAAAGATTTTTAACTTACTCTGTTAGATAAAAGGAATGACTAAAATTTTTGTGTTTGTTGAACATTTCTTCATGGGAACAGACACTGCACGCTATACTATTAAAGGAAAACCAAAACATAAACTCTCAGGACCTCTGAGGAAAGAAAACAAATGATGAAAATAAAATTTCCTTTTTATAAATGTTAGCTTTCAACAATCATAGCTGTTAGTAACAATTCAAAAAATATGTTGTCTTGGCAGAGTATCTCAAACTGAGACTAGTAAGACTTGTTTTTCTAACCTAACTATGAAAACAAAACATACTTTTCTTTAAAAACACTAAGATATAGTGTTTGAAAGTGCAAAAGTATGATCTTGCTTTGCAGAACATACTTTTTTGTTGTTGCTATATTTATAATAAAAATAATCAAAGCCCTTTTAATTTTTCTTATACTAAAAGATAATTTGTGAATCAGATAATTTTAGGTGAATGTTTCATTAAAGGAAATGTCTGTTTACCTCTGATGTTGATTCAGTTCCCGTATTGTTTATGTCCTCAATCTATTGAATGAGAATTTCATATCATTACATTATATCAGATTTCTACTTTTTGCTTTTAAACATACAACTGAAAAGTAATTTAGTTATGACTTAGAGTAAATTTTCAAATTTATAATTTTTGAAATATGTTTATGTTGTTTCAAATAAGCTAAATATGTCCTTTATATTTGTTGTTGCATATTGATATCAATATCAATATCCAAGAAACATACGAAGAAAACAATCAGGCTGGGCGAAGTGGCTAATGCCTGTAATCCCAGAACTTTGGGATGCCGAGGTGGGCAGATCACTTGAGCCCAGGAGTTCAAAACCAGCTTGGGCAACACGGCAAAATCCCTTCTCTCAAAAAGTACAAAAATTAGGTGGGCGTGGTGGCACGCACCTGTGGTCCAGCTACTCTGGAGGCTGAGGCAGGAGGATCACTTGAGCCCAGGAGGTTAAGGCTGCAGTGAACTATGTTCACACCATTGCACTCCAGTGTGGGTGACAATGAGACCCTATTTCAAAAAGAAAAACAGGAATAAAAAATTAAGATAAAGCCTACCTTTCTAACACAGAAACTGAATAACAGACCAAACTCTTATGACCAGGCTGTTGAGCTTACAAGCAACAATTATTAATTTAATTAGCAATTTAAACCAAGACACACAGAAACACTTCTCCATTCTTTGTCACTACCCCAGCAAAAAAGGAAAACCTATCCATTGCAATCTAATGCTTGTCATGATTATATTTTATAACATAAATATAGGGCAAAAATAAAACCGATACAATAACAGTGCAGTGAAAGATGTAGGCTGGTTTATTTATTTATTTATTTGAGACAGAGTCTCACACTGTTGCCCAGACTGGAGTGCAGTAACACGGTTTTGGCTCACTGCAACCTCTGCATACCGGGTTCAAACAATTCTCCTGCCTCCGCCTCCTGAGTGGCTGGGACTACAGGTGGACACCATCATGCCCAGCTAATTTTTGTATTTTTAGTAGAGACAGGGTTTCACCATGTTGGCCTGGCTGGTCTCGAACTCCTGGCCTCAAGTTATCTGCCTGTACCCAGCTGGGATAGAATAGTTTAGAAGGGAAAATAATTTTCTCTATACGTTCACTAGATCCAAGTAGGAAAGCTCCTCATTTAAAAAGTGAGAGCTTGGCAGGGCACGGTGGCTTACACCTGTAATCCCAGCACTTTGGGAAGCCGAGGCAGGCAGATCATGAGATCAACAGATGGAGATCATCCTGGCCAACATGGTGAAACCCCGTCTCTACCAAAAATACAAAAACTAGCTGGGCGTGGTGGCACATGCCTGTAGTCCCAGCTATTGGGAGGCTGAGGCAGGAGAATCACTTGAACCCAGGAGGCAGGCAGAGCAATAATCCATTTCAAAAAAAAAGGTGAGAGCTCAATTTACCCATTACTCATAAGAACTACCATTAGTTTAGCCATAGAGGAAGAGTAATGTAATGTTCTTAGCAAACTGAGAATTGAGAGAAGATAGGTGATTTAAATAATACAATGTTTAAGATCTCAGAAAAAGAAAACATAAGCAATGGGAAAATGGGAACCATTAGAAAAGTAAGAATTCAGTTGGTTTATTGTTTTAATTTGACTTTTAAAACCAATGAAAGAGTCTGATTAAAGAGCATTAACTCCTCATGCAGTGTGAGGGAATTTTGTCGTACCCTAGTTCATACTAGGAACTAGGCTAAGTCCCTGTCTGCTCATCATCACACCTTTCTATATTTTCTCTCAAGAAAGAAATAATACATTTTACTAAGATAACTGGCCAGGCATGGTGGATCATGTCTGTAAACCCTGCATTTTGGGAAGCTGAGGCAGGCCGATTGTTTGAGCCCAGGAGTTCAAGACCAACCTGGGCAACATGGCAAAACCCTGTCTCTACAAAAAAAAAAAAAAGAAAATTAGCTGGTTGTCACGGCACATGTCTGTAGTCCCAGCTACTAGGCAGGCTGAGGTGGGAGATTCACTTGAGCCTGGGAGGTGGAGGCTGCAGTGAACCTGTACTCTAGCCAGGGAGACAGAGAAAGTCCCTGCCTCAAAAAAAAAAAAAAAAAAGTCACCCAATTTCTTGAAAAAGAAATTATTCTAGCTGGGCACGGTGGCTCAAGCCTGTAATCCCAGCACTTTGGGAGGCCGAGGCGGGTGGATCACGAGGTCAAGAGATCCAGACCATCCTGGTCAGCATGGTGAAACCCCCGTCTCTACTAAAAATACAAAAAAAAATTAGCTGGGCATGGTGGCGCATGCCTGTAGTCCCAGCTACTCAGGAGGCTGAGGCAGGAGAATTGCCTGAACCCAGGGGGCGGAGGTTGCGGTGAGCCGAGATCGCGCCATTGCACTCCAGCCTGGGCAACAAGAGTGAAACTCCGTCTCAAAAAAAAAAAAGAAAAGAAAAATAAATTATTCTGAGCCAAGTTTGTTAAAAATAAATCTATTTTATACTTTAATAGTTTATTTTCATGGTTTTATTAAGAATAATTTTGTATACTATAAAATATTTTGTTTAAAATAATTTGCTTTGTTATAGAATTAACACTGACATAGTAGGTAAATGGTGAAAGTTTTGCTGAATTATATATTGTACTTAAAATCTTTAATGGATCTATAATAAAATAATTACAAAATACCTCTCTTTTTAAAAAATACTGACAACTCCTCTTTAAATCATGTTAATCTCTCAGTAAAAAGATCCGGGAGGCTAGACGTGGTGTTCATGCCTGTATTGCCCCAAATTTGGGAGGCCGCAGTGGGAGAATCTCTTGAACCCAGGAGTTTGAGACCAGCCTGGGCGACAAGAGTGAGACCCCATCTCTGCAAAAAAAAATTTTTTTTTGGTAGATTTTTTTGTAGAGCAGCAGGGTCTTGCTCTGTCACCCAGGCTTGGGTGCAGTGGTGCAATCTTGGCTTACTGCAACCTTCACCTCCTGAGCTCAAGCAATCATCCTCCCACCTCAGCCTCCCAAGTAGGCGGGACTACAGACATGCACCACCATGCTTGGCTAATTTTTAAAAGTTTTTGTAGTGATGGGGTTTTGCTATATTGCCCAAGTTGGTTTGGAGCTCCTCAGCTTAAGCAATCCACCTGCCTCAGCCTCCCAAAGTGCTGGTATTACAGGTGTGAGCCGCCACACCTAGCCAAAAATTTTTTTAAAAATTAGCCAACCATGGTGGCACACATCTGTAGTCCCAGCTACTTAAGAGGTTGAGATAGGAGGATCACTTAGCCTGGAAGGTTAAGGCTGCAATGAGCTGTGATTGCACCACTGCACTCCAGTCTGGGCAACATAGCAAGATTCTATCTTAAAAAAAATAAGCAGGGCACGGTGGCTCATGCCTGTAATCCCAGCACTTTGGGAGGTCGAGGTGGGTGGAACACGAGGTCAGGAGTTCAAGACCAGACTGGCTAACATGGTAAAACCCTGTCTCTACTAAAAAATACAAAAATTAGCTGGGCATGGTGGCTCGTGCCTATAATCCCAGCTACTTGAGAGGCTGAGGTAGGAGAATTGCTTGAACCGGGACCTTGGAGGCAGAGGTTGCAGTGAGCCGAGATTGTGCCACTGCACTACAGCCTGGGCTACAGAGCAAGACTCCATCACAAAATATAAATAAATAAAAGGATCAAGGAGATATGGTGAGAAGCCAGACACTGAAAATATAGAAAAGAGAAATACTAAATTTATTAACCCAACTTTCTTTTATTGTTGCTGCTACAACCTTCCCAGACCCAGGTCTTTTTTTTTTTTTTTTTTTTTTTTGGTAGAGTGACCTGATTATGAACCTCCTGGATTCAAGCAGTCCTCCCACTCTAGCCTCCTGGGTTCAAGCAATTCTCTCACTTTAGCCTCCCAAGTAGCTGGGACTATAGGCACCCACCACCATCTCCTGGCTAAGTTATTTGTTCGTTTATTTGTTTGTTTTTAAGAGCTGAGTTCTCACTATGATGCTCAGCCTGCTTCCCAGATCCTTATTAGCTTACGGCAAAATAATAAAATATGCTTGAAGGTTTTTTTTTTTTCTCTCTTCTTTGCTCACTTAACCATTACCAAAAGAAGAAAACATTGGAGAATACTCTTTTTTCAAACAAACAAGGAGAAGGATAAATCTAAGTGTCAGTATATTCAGAGAGACCAGATATTCAGAAGTTCAGTTATAGTGTTGACTTTCAGAAGCTACCATTGAAGAGCTGCTTCCTATTTCTTTTGCTTTATAAAAAAGCAAAACTCCTTTTGCTTCTTCCCAAATCAATTTGCTTCTCTCCCTTTTCTTTTCAACACTTCCTTCTCTTCCCTCACCAGTAACTTCTTTTTTCTAAGCTGATGGACTTTAACTCTACTCATCAGAGTATCCTCAAAGATAACGAGATAATATCAAGTTAAGATTCTTCCCCAAATTGATTCTAACATCCAGTATACCTACTATTAGTACATCCTATTAATCCCCAACCACCCCTCCACCGCATTTTTTTTTAAGAGACAAGGTCTCTCTGTTGCTGTGGGGAGTGCCGTGAAGTGATCATAGCTCACTGCATCCTCAAACTCCTGGGCTCAAGCAGTCCTCCTGCCTCAAGCCTCCCAAACTGCTGGGATTACAGGCATGAGTCACCATGTCCAGCTCTTGTTTTTAATTCATTATAAGATCCTAGAATCTCTGAATCCTGTAGGTCACTGAGACATTCAGCTACCTTCGACTCAGGAATCCTTTTTATGGTATTATTGCATATGGATTTATACAAATAAATTATACAAACAAATATGGATTTATACAAATTATGCAAACAAATATTAAATCTCTTTTTGACTACATATGCCATACTTTACTCCTTATATTCAAAGATACATTAAATTACATTAGAGTGAAGTGGAAAATGTACTTAATTAGATTTGGAAATTAAACTCTACATATTTATGAAATAAATTACTAGGCCAGGCACAGTGGCTCACACTTGTAACCACTTTGGGAGGCCAAGGTGGGTGGATCACCTGACGTCAGGAGTTCAAGACCAGCCTGGCCACCGTGGTGAAACCCATCTCTAGTAAAAATGCAAAAATTAGCCAGACATGGTGGCACATGCTCGTAATCCCAGCTACTCAGAAGGTTGAGGCATGAGAATCGCTTGAACCTGGGAGACAGAGGTTGCAGTGAGCCAAGATCACACCACTGTACTCCAGCCTGGGTAACAAGAGTGAAACTTCATCTCAAAAAAAAAAAAAAAAAATTGCCCTGCTGAATTTCAGACTTGTGTGGGCCCTGTAACTCCTTGTTTTAGGCAATTTCTCCCATTTGAAATGGCTGTATTTACCCCATACCTGTACCCACCTTTGCAAATCCAGGGTAAATACATTTCTTTAATATGCAAGTATAGCCTATGCTTTGCTTTCATTGTCACTTTTCTTTTCAGAAAGGTAATTGAAACCTGAAGGAAGCATTGCAAAAAGACTGAAGGCACTTAATGTAGGCTTTAAAAGACCAGCTGATATGGTTTGGCTTTGTATCCCTACCCAAATCTTGTCTTGAATTGTACTCCCATAATTCCTATGTGTTGTGGAAGGGACCCGGTGGGAGATAATTTGAATCATGGGGATGGAGGCAGCTTCCCTGATACCGTTCTTGTGGTACTGAGTAAGTCTCATGAGATCTGATGGTTTTATCAGGGTTTCCACTTTTGCCTCTTCCTTATTTTCTCTTAACCCCGATTATGTAAGAAGTAGCTTTCACCTACTGCCATGATTTTGAGGCCTCCCCAGCCAGGCAGAACTGTAAGTCCAGTTAAACCTCTTTTCTTTCCCAGTCTCAGGTATGTCTTTATCAGCAGTGTGAAAACAGACTAATATACCAGCATTTAAAGGTATTGTTATTAGAAGACCAGCATTTTGTTAGGTACTCATGAATAGTTTATATGTGAAATTGCCTTACATCTTTGTATAGTCCCTTAACTTGTAAAGAAAAGTAAGGAATGTAGATAGGGTGAGGAATGTGGATAGAATGGTAGATTGTATATGACACAAATCATCTCACTATTCTACCTTAAAATAGGCATATTCTGCCCATATCCTTCTAGGCATCTGATGTTAAATATTTTTCCTTAAGATCTTTTCAGGTTAGCTGCCTTTTTTTTTTTTCTTTGAGACAGGGTCTTGCTCTGTCACCCAGGCTGGAGTACAGTGGCATGATCTTGGCTCACTGCAACTTCCACCTTTCAGGTTCAAGCGAACCTTCTACGTCAGCCTTCTGAATAGCTGGGACTACAGGCACTCACCACCATGCCCAGCTAATTTTTGTAAGTTTTGTAGAGAAGGGATTTTGCCATGTTGCCTGGGCTGATGTGGAAGCGATCCACCTACACTGGCCTCCCAAAGTGCTGAGATTACAGGTGTTAGCCACCATGCTTGGATGGTTAGCTGCTTTTTAATAGGTTTACGTTATATTGAAATATTTTAACGAGGCAACATACTGATTAGTTTCACTATGCACAGTTAGTTTCAGAAACAAATACCAACTTAATCTTTAGTGATACCTGCTCAGCCCTTTTCGCTAATTCACGCTGTATTTTCCTCTTTTCTAGCATATCCTGCTCAATTCTGCGTTTTCGTTCCTCCTCCGTTCTCTTCCTTTGTTCCTCTTGTCTTTGTTTCTCCATTTCAGCAAATCTACCCTTAACAGTTCCTAAGAACATATGAAAAAAAGTTTGATACTTTGCTATGTGTGTATTTTGCAATTTAATTGACAATTTACCCCTCAAGCTTCTTACCTGTTAGTTTTGGAACATAAGCCTTTTCTACTTTAGAAGATATGTCCTCCTCATCATCAGAAGCAAGCATTTCTTTAATCTAGATGGTTAAATAAATTGATGTGAGCACATGTCCAAAAACTAGACTAAATCATATTATATGCAGAGTTTAAATTAGGTTACAAATACAGAAAAGTATTTTAGTTATAGTTAATATGAAATGTGGTTAACGTGAATAAATAAAACTTAAATTAAAAAATGAAAATGAATATTTTCACAAGAATAAAGTAAAATAAAATAACCTCCTGCTTTCTCCTGTTCCATTCTCTCTCTCTAATATATTGTTCTTTTCTTCTTTGCTTTTCGTCTCTAGATCTCCTTTGATTTCTTTCTTCCCTGGCTTTCTGCATGGCTTCAAACTTATCCTTTACATCACCCTTGCCAAGTTTTGGTACATAGGTTTTTGGGACAGGTTTAGATGAAGAAAGCAGAATCTTCATTAGAAGAAAATAAAGAAAAGAAAGTTAACAAAAACAATAGGAAAAAATAGATAAAGATAGATAAGAATAAGCAATATAAATATTTATTGAAACAGAAAACAGAAATATGTTTGAACCCTTTACTTGACCATCACAACCTGCTTAGATACTTTCTAAAACCTAACTATGAAAAATCACATTACAGAAAATACGAGAGTAGAAGTTTCACTGTTATATAGTAATGAAGTCCATTTTGTGGGTAGCATTCCACTGAAGCTGAAAGTCAGTAAAATATAATCAAATTCTGAATTTTAAGTAAAAATAACTGTATTTTATTGTCTAACTTCATTATTAAAGATTCAGATTTGATATCACTTGGTAAAAAGATACCAAAACTAATTTCAGTAAATCTGGTGAAGTTGAAAACAAAAGTTTAGGCTTTAAAGTTTAGACCCTAATTCACATTTTACACCCTTCCTGGTTCCTGTATCTAATATAAACAAAACTGAAGGCCAGTCCTTTAATCCTTCTTTCTGGCTGAGGTACGCCATGGTCTGTGTGCACAAGCAGTGATTTATGTTGTTACTGTTATTTTCCATCTATAACTTCCTTAATCCACATGAAAAATGTGTAAGAGGGCTGTATCATTCTATATAGGGTGGGTTCTACGAGAAGTTCCATATGGCAACAGAGCTTCCCAAAGAGTGGGAATCTGGTAGAAGACTGAAGAAATTATTTTCCTCCACTCTAAAACCATGAAAGCAACTCTAAATGAAATTTCAGTAAATAAAATGTGTGCCTCAGAACACCAAACTCTTTTTCCTAGTGATAATGGTGATTGCTTAATTAATCTGTGGCACACCCAGCCTATATTTTGTGAACTATTATGTGTCATTGGCCATTTAAGGGTTAACTTTATAATTTTGAGGTGTCAGCAACTGAGGTCTTCATACTACAACTCTCAGTATCTATAGTCAAGAACCAGAAAGAAGCTAAAAATAAAAATAAATAAAAATAAAAAAAACTAAGGCACTGAAAAGGATCCTTACCTAAGAGTGCATTCTCCTGTGAGGATAGGTCAAACTTTGTTTTAATACTAATTTCTAAGAGTTATTAAGAACAAAACATTTAAAATTCTACTCAGAATGCTAGGTATCACATCCACTTCACTATCATTCACAAATTTAGTACTTGTGCTTTGTAGAATTTCCTAGAATCCAAATGAAAATACTAGCTCAAGACCAGCTGCTGAATTGTATCCTTTGTTTTACATCTTGCCATTATGTTATTAATTATAAACTCCTAAATATAACCTTTCCACCAAATGATTGTCCTTTCGGCAATTCTATAGTCAACTCTACATTTTCCTCTTTTATTTTTTTTCACTTTTGAGACTTACCTCAGCCTTTTGGGAAATATCATTCATGTTTGCTCTATGTGGTCTTGGGCTGATTATGAAGCTCTGTATATTTTTGCACCTGAAAAAATTTTAATATTGTATAATAATTTTTAATTTATTTTTAATATAGTATTATTGTTATAAATAGAAATAGCAGTTAATTGCTCCTCAAAAAATACTGATATGATCCAAGGAAGTAAATTGTGATAACCTTTAGCTCTTTTTCCCAAGATTCATGGTATAGAAAATATAAGGTGTATGATGTTACAAGATCCCTGAAAGTTTTTGATCCAGCATAGCTTGATGAACATATCAAATTCACTTGAAAAGAATGTGTATTCAGCAATTATTGAGTTTATTAGTCTATAAATACTAAGGTAGTTGATCAGGTTTTAGATCTGTATTTTTACTAATTTTTGGCTAGTTCTATCAATCTTCAACTATGTAGATCTATGTAGAATTTTTTTTTTTAAGACAGAGTCTTGCTCTGTAGCCCAGGCTGGAGTGCAATGGTGCAGTCTCAGCTCACTGAAACCTCCACCTCCCAGGTTCAAGCAATTCTCCTGCCTCAGCCTCCCGAGTAGCTGGGATTACAGGCCTGTGCCATCAAGCTCAGCTAATTTTTGCATTTTTAGTAGAGACAGGATTTCACCATGTTGGCCAAGCTGGTCTTGAACTTCTGACTTCAAGTGATACACCTAACTTGGCCTCCCAAAGCACTAGGATTACAGGCATGAGCCACTGCGCCTGGCCAGAATTTTTTTTCTCCCTTTAATTCTGTTGTTTTTGTTTTATGTAATATCAGGTTTAATTGCATACACATTAAGATTATATCTTCTTTTTGAATTGACCCTTTCAGTAGTATGTTTTTTGTTTTTGTTTTTGAGACAGAGTCTCACTATCACCCCAGGCTGGACGGGTAGTGGTGCAATCTCAGCTCACTGCAACCTCTGCCTCCCAGGTTCAAACGATTCTCCAGCCTCAGCCTCCTGAATAGCTGGGATTACAGGCGACACACCAGCAAGTGTAGCTAATTTTTTATGTGTTTTCAGTAGACACGGGGTTTCACCATATTGGCCAAGCTAGTCTCGAACTCCTGACCTCAAGTGATTCGCCTGCCCTGGCCTCCCAAAATGCCGGGATTACAGGTGTGAGCCACTGTTCCTGGCCTGCTAGTATGATAGTGGTATGTCAATCATACCTTAATAAGGCGGTTTAAAAAAAAAAATTCCAGGGCCGGGCGCGGTGGCTCATGCCTGTAATCCCAGCACTTTGGGAGGCCGAGGCGGGTGGATCACTAGGTCAAGAGATCGAGATTATCCTGGTCAACATGGTGAAACCCCGTCTCTACTAAAAATACAAAAAATTAGCTGGGCATGGTGGCGCGTGCCTGTAGTCCCAGCTACTCAGGAGGCTGAGGCAGGAGAATTGCCTGAACCTAGGAGGCGGAGGTTGCGGTGAGCCGAGAGTGCGCCATTGCACTCCAGTCTGGGTAACAAGAGCAAAACTCCATCTCAAAAAAAAAAAAAAAATCCAAATATCACCAAGAACAGTGGCTTGTGCCTGTAATCCTAGCATTTTGGGAGGCTGACGCAGGCAGATCACTTGAGATCAGGAGTTCAAAACCAGCCTGGCCAACATGGCAAAACCCTGTCTCTACTAAAAATACAAAAATTAGCTGAGTATGGTGGTAGATGCCTGTTATCTCAGCTATTAAGGAGGCTGAGGCCGGAGAATCGCTTGAACCTGGCAGGTGGAGGTTGCATTGAGCCAGGATTGCACCACTGTACTCCAGCGTGGGTGACAGAGCGAGGCTCTCTCTCAAAAAATAAATAATTAATTAAAATTTCAAATATCAATTTAATCTTTGACTTATGATCTCCTCCCACTTCTTTTCTTTCTTGACAGGATCTCACTCTGTCGCCTAGGCTGGAGAGCAGTGGTGCAATCAGGGCTCACAGCAGCTTCGACCTCCTGGGCTCAAGCAATCATCCCACCTCAGCTACCTGAGTAGCTGGGACTACAGACACACACCATCACACACAGCTAATTTCTGTGTTTTTTGTAGAGATGAGGTTTCATCATATTGCCCGTGGCTGGTCAGTCTTTCCAATTTTATGCTTACATACCTTCTCGGTCAACATTTCAGTTACCAGTCTATAAACTTAATTTTGCTGCTTTATTTAGCAAAAGGCCCCAGCGGCTCCTTCAATTTCATGTAATTATACTTGCCAGAAATTATTTCTATTTAGTATTCATATGTATCACTATACTTTTTTTTTTTTTAGATGAAGTTTCGCTCTTATTACCCAGGCTGGAGTGCAACGGTGCAATCTCGGCTCACCGCAACCTCCACCTCCTGGGTTCAAGCAATTCTCCTGCCTCAGCCTCTCGAGTAGCTGGGACTACAGATGCCGGCCACCATGCCCAGCGAATTTTTGTATTTTTAGTAGAGACAGGGTTTTACCATGTTGACCAGGATGGTCTCGATCTCTTGATCTTGTGATCTACCCGCCTCGGCCTCCCAAAGTGCTGGGATCATAGGCGTGAGCCACTGCGCCCAGCCCTGTATCACTATACTTTTTATTAATAAAGTTATAAAATGAGAAGCTATAAAATTCAAAGTATTCACTTTACTGGTTTTCTTTTTTTTACAGTCCTGATAAACATTTTCAAATTATTCAATCTGTTCAATAGGAACTAGAATCCAAGTGTGATGATATAGTTAGCTTCAATTGCTATAGGGCAGCTACTTTAATGTAGTTTCTTCAAAACTCTTAACAGATACATGTTATATTAGAATAGAATAATAATTTAAGTACATTATGGGTAAAATAGGTTTTAAAAGTTCCAGAATAACTTCTAGCCATGATTGTTTTGATTTCTCTTTTTTTTTTTTTTTTAATTTTTTATGATAGGATAACAGCCCACCATTCTTTCTGCCCTCATCCAGGCCCACTTAGGTTCTCTACTCAACTACTGCAATCTCTACCTCTCTGTGCTTCTTAACTCTAGTGTATCATTCCAACTCTGAGGATATTAACTGTGTAGTACATCATGGATCAGAACTAAAATTCCCACCTGGGCTTGATAGGCCTTCTGCAGACCTTCAGACTCTCCAGTTTCCTTTGTCTTCTCCCCATTTTTTCAACCTTCCACCTAGACAAATCTATTTAGTAGCCTTTTCCTATCTCCAGGAACTTTCTTAAGTCATTTCTTTACCAAGGAGGTATTTTCCTAAACTAATTATAATGGAAATGGTGATTTTTCTCCACTTCACCCTAAACATGATTGTTTTTTTCTCCTTCAGTCTCTGAGACCTCTAAATGTGCTTAGGTTTCTAGGTATATCTGACATAAACTTTAAAATTTTAATATTGGTAAAAATCTCAGACATATCAGTCTAATCTATCTTTTTTGTTTACTTTTTTATTATGGAAAAATTCAGGCATACAAACCAAAAGAGACTAATATAATGCACCTCCATACACCCATACCAAGCTTCAACAATTACCAGCTTTTTCCACTGTATTAGACAATAAAAAGTCTGTTTCATTTATTTTGTGCAACACCTATTTCAGCATAATACATCTTACAGATGTCTTAAGAAAATTAGTAAACTCTCATTTGATGAAGTCATTAATAAAGTAATGAAAAGTTACATGTAAAAATAAAATTTAAGGACTTTTTAAAAAACTACAATACATTAAAGGAAAGTTCAGGAACCTCTGAACTGAATAAAGAAGAAGGGAGAAAACTAACAATTGAATCCCTATTTTATGCCATAAACTAGGTGGTTTTCATATAGTTTATAAATTTAAAGTGATGAGTATGATAGAACTAAGAATAAACAGAAAGAGATAAATTAGTGAAAACTGATATTGTTCAAGGAACATTTATTGAACATTTTTCTGTAATGTGCTAGGTATAGTATAGGCTACTACATAAATAATAACGAATAGGATAAAATATCTGTTCTCATGGAGTTTATGATCTAGATGAGATAAAATATAATTATCAAAAAATATAATAAGGCTTACATTTTTAGATTAGAAAAAGCTTTATTTAGGTAACATCTGAAAGTGTGTAAACACACACAAAAATTAGCTTTAGCTGGGTGCTCTCCTGTAGAGGACTGAGGTGGAAAGATTGTTTGATCCCAGGAGTTTGAATCTAGTTTGGGCAACATAGTGAGACACCATCTCTAAATAAATAAAAATAAGCTCTGTGGTGTTAAAGAAAATGCCACCAGTAAAAGAAAGGCATGTATTACAAAAGTGGGTCTCAAACTTTTGGTGCTCAGGACCTAAAATCTGGGCCCATTATTGAGGATCTTAAGGACCTTTAAGGTGGCCAAGAACACACCACAACACAACAGTTCAGCTCCATTGCACCTTCTAAGTAAGATCCCAGGCAGGTCCACTGAATTCTTATGAAGAATAAGATTAAAGAGAAAACAGTGACCAAAAGATAAGGTTGAACATTTGCGTTCTAAGAGTTTTGTTATAATAAAGGTTTTGTTTATATGGATTAATACTATAGATCTTTAATATATTAGAAATTAAAACAAAATATTCAACTATATACTTATAAGTCATTTAAAGTAACAATAACAAACCATTATTTATAAACATAAAAATAATTAGTAAGAAGAGGAAAATAATTTTACATTTTTGCTAATCTCTGGTATCTGGCTTAATAAAGGAAAAATACCATTCTCATATCTGCTTCTGCATTCAAACTATGGTGGTGGTGCTTTGACTGAAGTCTCTGAATAAAACTTCACTTTATATTAATATGTAGTTGGAAAAGGAAGAACTTTATGGACCCCTAAATGGTATTGAGGACTCCCAGGGGTTCTAAGACCATATTTTGAGATTTGCTGAATTACAGGAAAAACATCCTAGTGAGTCATGTCAAGTTCTCATTCTAGAAATGTATTTTAGAATGCTAAATGGAGATGGGCTTAATGACTTAATTCCTATACTCAGTGACCCGAAAGCCGAAAGACTTTATATCTGGAATCTTAACAGTCTTTCCTCATCTAATGGTAGGTAGTAATTTTTCTTGTTTTAGCAGG